GTAGAATTACATTTTTAAATTAGATTGCCCCTTGCTTCCTTGAATCCTGCACCAATTGCACGTTACTTTACAGTTACACTGGCACCATCACTGCTTCCAATACAAGAATTAGACATAGGATTAGATTAGATATAGGAATATCAATGATCGTGGAGAAAGGTAGGAGAATGCACACGACCATACGCAATCACAGAATCTCGAATCATAGATTCCATCACACATTCATCGGATACGAAATGGATACTTTGATCTACGTCTTTTACGATTTTTCATTTTTGAAATATATTGTAACATCGAGCTTCTCTCAAAACTCGTGGATCAACGTTCCTAATCGTAATATTCACACCATATAACTTTCCTCTGTATAAATAAATTTCTTTTATTTCCAGTGAGTAATCAATTTCGTTTCTATTCACAGAAAGCAGATTTGGCTGTTGGCTCGATGACCATTAATTACGCCCGTGAAAGCGTGATCGACTTCACAAAACCGTTCATGAATCTTGGCATATCGATACTTTTCAAGGTAAGATTTTTCTCTATTCTTCGTTCAAAATATTATTGCGCGATATTTTATTTTCTTCATTTGATTGATTAAAATTACTATTCTTTTTTATTCATATTTATTACCCACGATGATATATTATATATTTATAATATTTTATAATTGTAATATAAAATTTTAATGGAGAATTGAGCGAAGTTATACGATTGATTGACGAACACAAAAGATTGAATCGTGATAATCAAATGTCGTAGAATAAATTATGTTAAAGAGAAATCAATTATAAATATATTGTGCATAAAGTATTAATAAAATTATGGACCAAGATTCTCTCTTCAAAGAGAATATTTAAAAAAAAGTCATTAAATGAAAAACCAATTTTGTACAAGATAAGATGCTCTTTGTGATGAAAAATAAAATAGATGCATATAGAAAATAAGAAGAGAAAAACCAATATTACGTAAAATAGAATTCTTTCCCATCTTTTATGAGGAAAAATAAAACAAAAGCGAATATCAAAGAGAAAAAAAACTTTATTTTGTGTAAACTACAGTTAATTTACTTGAATAGCTAAAAATATTTATCTATTTGAAAGAAATGAAAAGTTATGTGCGTTTCAAGAATTGCTAGCTCAAATAAAACATTCGTTTAATTTGTTAAATAATTTTATATATTTTATATAATTAAATTGTTAAATAGTCATGAAATTCTGCTATGCCATAGTAAAAAATGTACTATAAAGACAGAAACAGTCGTAATTTAAAAATGGGAACAAATAACAGGTAAATTCACGTGAACATTTTATTGCTCTACCGGCTGCAATATAACAATTCGAAAGTTATGATCGTGTTACAAGGTCTAGAACAGATATGACATGTAATATTTTTTCATGTAACAGGAATTTCAGAACAATAAATCTATTGTTATTTTTGTATTATATACATTATCAATTCAGTATAAAAAAGAAATTATAATAATAGTGTTGGGAATAAAATTTAAATTTATATAAACATCTACAAATATTAATTACAAATAAATTCATAATACTTAATTATGGAGTAATGTAAGTAATCTAAAAATACAGAATAATTATACGCATGGAGAAAGTAGATAAGTCAATCATATAATTAGAAAAATCAACAATATAGCTATATTTCTGAATCTTTTATAATTAAAAAAAATTATCAGCACAGTATTATAGAAAAATGACAGCTTATATCATAAGAGATAAGTTTGTAAAAGGAAAATATCTTTAAAATTAAAATTAAGAAAATTGATGAGAAGATGATTCAAGGTTCATCAAATTTAACAATCATAAAATGTAAGTATGCAAAAATAATAAATAGCAAATAATTCACACGTAAGTACATAAAATTGTATAAAAATGTATATTTGAAAATTGAAATATAAGAAAAATTTTGCATGCTATTTCATATGAAATTATATGTTTCTAATGCAAAAACAAAAATTTTAATAACTATTAATTCTATTTAAAATTACAATTTCATAATAAAAGAACATTATCTTCGAAAGCGATATGCGAAATTTTTCTCATATTTAATATACTTCTACCTCTTTTAATAATTTTTCCATATTCCATTTTCCAAAAATTATTCATACTCTTAATTTTAGGTAAACAAAAGGAATACATTCCCTCAAAACAATCTCAAAAAGTTTATCAAAGGTAAGTAAAAATCAAAGGTAAGTAAAAATCAAAGGTAAGTATTTTATTTTTTATAAATAATTAGAATTAAGTAAAATGCAAAAAAAAAAAGAAAAATTACAGATATTGCAAATAGATCAATGCCTACAGTGTATCGATAGAAGGTAAGTATAAAAGGTAAGTATATCAAAATTATTACACAAAGTTTTGGCTGAAAATATCACTTTTGATTAGGAGAACATGAGATGCAAAGAAGTGGCACGTTCAATTTTTCGACAGGGTGAATTTCTTAAAAATTTTGCTTAAAATTTCGACTTTTGATTAGGAGAATATGAGTTGCAAGGA